TACATTATTATAATAATTACATAAATGTAAACGGTCTAAATATACCATTTAAAAGTCAGTTTTTTATACCAGATAAAAACAAATAAAGGAACAAAACACAAGACCCAACTATTTTGTCTTAAAAAACCTCACTCTAAGTACATGGGTAGATTAGAAGTGAAAAGATGGGGAAAAGTACTTAACATGCAAACACTAATCAAAAGCAGCGAGAGTCTACGGCCACGCCACCCTGAACGAGCCCGATCCCGTCTGATCTCAGAAGCTAAACAGGGTCGGGCCTGGTGAGTACTTGGATGGGAGACCACCTAGGAAGACCAGGTGCTGCAGGCGCAATAAAAAATAAGGGATTGTAAGTTGACAAGGTCCTTGGGATTGTAACTTGACAAGGTCCAAGTCAACCAGGGGTTGCCTTTCCTTTAAAAAAAAAAAAAAAAAAGTAAGCTGGAGTGGCTAAATTACCAGCAGATACGTTAGACTTCGGAACAAGGAAGGTGACTGGGGTAAAGGAGAGCATTACATAATCGGAACAGGGTCACCTTCCCCTCAAAATGCCACATGACATAGAGCAAAACGGTTTAGATGACCACGGACTTATCACTGTGCACCAAATACATAAAAATCCTTAATGTGTATGCACCTATTACAGGACTTCAAGGTACATGAAAGAAGCGACCGAACTGAAAGGAGAAACGGACAAGCCCATCATCAGAATCGGAGTTCTCAAGGTTTTTCTCTCGGCAACTGACAAAACAAGTGGACAGAAAAGCAGAGAGGTATATTAGATTTGAACCACGCCATCGACCCAGCTGACCTAGCAGGCCTAGACTGAACACGCCGCCCAATAGCAGCATACACGCTCCCAGTGCACAAGGAACGTTCACCAACGCAGACCACATTCTTGGCCATCAAACAGATCTCCACGCATCTACTGGCTGGGATTCTCCCATCAAGAACCCTCCTTCACCAGCTACTTGATTACCTTGAAAAATTAAGGATAAGATTAAAAAGGCAAGATTATTTTTTGCTTCAGTCTTTTAATTCTTTTCAGAATGAGACAATGGCCCAGTTTTTAATTCTTTTTGAGGCTCCAAATGTTGCAGTGGGGGGCCTCTTAAAGTCCTTCCCCCCCCATTTATTATAAAAATTTTCAAACATACAGAAAAGTTGAAAGAATTGTACAGTGAACAGTTATAAAGCTACCACCTAGACCCTACAGTTAACATTTTTCTCTGATGAATATCGCCAATACTACTTACCTTTATCAAACCCTGTTTTCAGTTTAACGTGTACCCTTCTAGGCCTTTTTCTGTGTATTTTACTTACAAACTCACCTAGTGTATTAGTGTTCTAAGGCTGTCACAAAACACCACAGACCGGGTGTCTTAGGCAACAGATATTTACGTCTCGCTTGTGGAGGCTTGGAAGTCCAAGCGCAAGGTAGCAGTAGCATTGGTTTCCCCTGAGGCCCCTCCCAATACATGGGCTGGGGCTGCTGCCTACCAGAGGCTTAATGGTGGCCTGAGGGTCAGCTCCCATTTCCCACATCTGGCAACTTGGTGCTGGGGAGCTCAGCAACCCCACACCCAGGCCTCTCCAGAGTAGGTGAGTGTCCCTAGGACATGGTGGCTAGTTTCTTTCAGAGCCAGTGATCCAAGAGGGAGCAAGCCAGGTGGAAGCTGATCATTTTCAGGCCCCAGGTCTGGAAGCGCATAGCATCACTTCTCCACATGCAATTCATTAGAAGTGAGTGACCACGTCCACTCGCACTTCGGGGTGGGGTTTGGTTTCCCCTTTGAAAGGAAGAGTGCTGAATGATCAATGGACCTATTAATGTAGGAAAGCGCAGAGAATTAGAATGTTAATTGAGCCACAATCAGAGACTGCAATGTGCTGATCAGCTCTGCAATCAGGCCGCCAGGGCACCTTTAGAACAAAGGAAGATTTCTACTGAAATTGCTAACAACCCATTCCCCACACCAGTAAAGGGGAAACAGGAACCAAGAGACCTTCATTCCCTTCGGCTAAAACTACGGGGGGGCCTATGGATTAAAGGCTGGGAACTGCCAAGAGGCCTTTCATGCAACATTTTCGTAGCTTTTCACATACATACTATTCCCCTTCCTCACTGTATGTTCATATCAAAGGAAATGGGTTGACAAAGTCTTTTAACCTATAACTCCCAGAAACTGTGATATATGAACGGAATCCCCCTAACACCCGGGGTTCCTCTCAGTACCTTTACTGTCTCTATTGTCACTGTCTCCCTGCGTCTGAGCAGACACCATACTCTGTGGAGTGATACCTTTTCTATTAAACTTTACTTTTCAAACTTTGGCATGTGTGTTGAATTCTTTCCACACTCTCCGTCAAAGGACCCTCTCCTTCTCTTGGTGCAGGGTTTGGTCTTCCGCCTACTTGGGGAAGTTTGCCCCGTCATGCATCGCTATTACAAATGCGCTCTTACACTCACTTTTGTGATGTCTTGATTCATGAAAGCTGCTCCTTGTCACACTATAATTCTAAGATGGCAAGAATCAAATTTTTAACTCACCCTGCACAGGCAGACCTCAGAGATACTGCAGGTTCAGTTCCAGACCAGGGCCATAAAGCGAATACTACAATAAAGGGAGTCACGCAAACTTTTTGGTTTCCCAGTGCATGTTCACACGATTCTGTAGTCTATTTAGTGATCAATAGCATTGTCTAAAAGAGCAATGTACATATCTTAATTTAAAAAGACTATAGTGCTTAAAAAACGGTAACCATCATCAGAGCCAGCTGGAAAACCATTACCAATAGACTTGCTCCACGCAGGGCTGCCACAAAGCTTCAATTTGTAAATCTGCAAAGCGCAACAGGGCGCCTCCCAGTGGCACTCACACGACCACAGCATCAGCCGCAGTTCTCTGGCTTTTCAGGGCGGTGGAACTGCTGATGGTCAATACAAGGAAATACACTTTCAAAATACACGCTTTTTTCTTTCATGAGCACATTAACAATCTTTGTGCATTAAAGGACGTGACATGTCCCTCGACTGGGAAACAGCAATGCATGGCAACTCTGTGTAGCGTGTGCATGTCACAGGTCTTCCCTGAGATACGCAGCTGCCAAACCTTCAGCTGTCTCCAAGCTTTTCTGTAAATATGTTTCTCCATCATTGATTTGCCACTTTCTAGAAGAAAGGGGCTGGTGGAGCCCAGCGATCTATGAAAACTGCAGATGAAACAAGAAATCAGAACTTTGACCTCCAAGAGAATCCGTTTGCACTGATGAAAGCAGACCATAGGCCACGCACATGAACCAGGTGGCTTCTCACATTACAGATGGGGAAACTGAGGCCGGGAAGTCCAGTGATCTGCCCAAAGGTATAGCTTAAGGTAAGACAGAGAGGGTTCAAACTTAATATTAAGCAACCCAAGAACCTGGTTCTTTTTTGTTTTCCATTCAACTGAGGTAAAATATACATTACATTAAATTTGCCATTTTAGCCGTTTTCACTGTGCAATTCAGTGACATTAAACGCATGCACACTGTAGTGCCTTCATCACCATCACCTATCTCAGGAACTTTTCCATCTTCCCAAACTGAAATTGTCCCCGTCAAACAACTCCCCCTCCTCCCAGCCCTCCCCCGGCAGCCACAGCCTTCTCTGGGGGGTGATTAAAACACCGCCAAGAGCCTGGCAAGACGGAAGTACAAGATACAAATACACAATACCCTTCCTGAGCCGGGAACGCCGGAGGCGGACTCCTCCTGGCGAATCCGGCCACATGCCACCAACACGGCGCAACCGGCCCAGTGGCCCCGCGGCAGGCCCCGCCCTGGCTCACGTGACCCGCGCTTGCTCCCGCGTCTGTGGGCGGAGACGTCTGCCGGCGGAACCACGGTGACCAGGAGGATGGGGAAGGGTGGCATTGCCACTGCCGCGCTGGGCTCGGGCGTAGCTGATTAAAGCGACTGTTACTTATTTTTGTGTCGCCCCAGGAACGTGTTTTCTTAGCAGTATCGGCCATCTTTGGCTCATCAGACACTCCTTTTATGTTTTGGAATCGTCCATTCTTGTGCCCAGTCAGTAGACGAGTCTAAAAACCGACGCGTCAAGGGGGAACTTAGTAATGTAAGCGAAGCTGTCTGGCGGAAGGCTGAGATATCACAACCACAATAGTTTTTTGAACTTACAGTTTTTGCTAGTATAAGTTTTGGAGTTAAGCTACGTTTTCATACAGTTCTGAATACTAAGCTGACTTCTGGTACCCCCCTGCGGCGTCACAAATAGTTTAGTCCTTCACCGTAGCGCCCGACGGGAAAAGCAAAGGAGTGGCTGCCATATTGGGCAAAACCATCCTTTACCAAAAGAGGGTAGTTGTAGTTTCCAATGAGTTTGTAGATTGATGCAAGGAGCGGTGGTGATTGGCATCGAGTGCGTACTAGTCATGGGAGCGCGACTGTAATCACTAGTAGGCACACTTCTGCCCCCTGAGTTCCTCCGGCCACGCCGCGAGGCATCAGGGCGCCGGCGCACCCCCCCCGAAACTCGTGGGACGCCCCGCCGCACGCACATGGCCCGGCGGTCGGCGCGGTGCGGCCTGGGAGAGTCGGAAGCGCGGCTAGGCCGGGCGAGGCGGCAGCAGCGGGCCCATGCAGG